TTTTTTTTTTTTTTTTTTTTTTTTTTGTTTGTTTGTTTTCGTTTTCTGTTTAACTTTTGCTGTTTGCTTTGTTGTAGCTGTTGTTATTGTTGTTGTTACGGCTGTTAAATTTTGCTGCTGCTGCTGCTGCTGCTGCTGCTGCTGCGGCTGTTGCTGTTGCTACTTCTACCACTAGGGCCAATTGCTAGTTACACTCGACTTGATGCATCACCTTAGTTATCCAGCCAGGACTCGCGTCATTCTGTGTAATCCCACCAGTCCTTTTCGTAACCTTCATGCACATGCTTGAGCAGAACTGTGCACCGCTTCTCACAATATCTAAAATATGTGTATACATTAATTCAATTGCAATGCAATTGATCGAACTGCAAGCATACCTATATTTATCCTGTACTTTCTGCTTAATATCAGCCAAATTTTCGGATGTAATATCACGTTCCAAGTACTCGGAGAGCGTCTCCGTTGCCGACTCCAAATCCTTCTGGTTATCCTCAAATATCTGCGATTGATTGTTCTTTTTCAAATAATACGCAAAGACGTATGTGTACATTAGGGTCTGGCGACACTGGCAGAGTATGTCGACGGCCTTCTTCAGGAATTGCACCTGGATCAGATAGGATAGATAGATTAGATTTATTTTGAGAGCAATCGTGGGGATTGGCCGTTCGTATTGTCTACCTCAATCCAGGACATGTTGTGCTGCTGCATTTCCTCCATTTTCTGCTTGACCGATGCGTACAATTTGTTCTCGAACTTCATCGATTGCATGTGGTTCATGTAGCGATTGTAATAATGTAAATATCTAGCAGTTTGGGGAATAGAATGAGTATCAGATAGAAGATCAATGGAGTTAGGCAGTTAGGCCTCGCACCTGGCCAGTGATGAGCGCAGCCTCTCCTGTGCGTCACGCGCTGCCTTCGCCTCGTCCTCGTCGTAGCGATTGCAATTGTACCAGGACGAGCCGTGCGGCTCCCAGGGGCCGAGGCACACCCAGCAGAAGTCGTGCTTGCAATTTTGATTCTTGCAGACCATGTGATTGCAGCCGCCATCCTTCTCGATGGTGACACTGCATCTGGGACACTCTTTGGTATTGGCCGCAATCCAGTTGGACGTCTCCGAGTCGTCGTCACACTTCTTGATCCACTTCTTTAGCCAGCGGCACTGCACCGGATCGTGCCAATTCTCGCCGCAGGCGAAACAAAACACATGGCCGCATTTGCAATGGACGCGACGCGACTCCGCATACGGCACTTTCACCGCATAGGTGCAATCGACGGACGGACACCAGCGCAGCAGCTGATTGCACTCGACGAAGCTATTGGTGATTAGCTGCTGGTATTTGACCCTCACCCGCGCATCGGGCACCAACTTGGTGACCGTCACATCATCCACCAATATATCACAGCCGTGCGCGGCGCACGATATCGTCTGGCCCAAGCCCTCTGTAACGATTTTCGTTGTCAGATACTCGCGCCAGCAGTTTAGACAAAAGCGATGACCGCACTCCAAGCCGGTCATGGACTGCAAAGAAATTCGAATTTGATGAAATACGAAATTTGATTATGATTTTCCTTTTTCTATGAATCGGTTCACTCACATCTGGCGGCAACAGAGAGAAACAAATCTCGCACTCCTCACACTGGCTACGTGAAGTCTGCAAAACAAAGGAACAACGATAGAGAGAGAGAGAGAGAGGAAGAGAGCGCATGAGTTTAGGGCAAGTCAGATATATCAATATGAACATGCGATGTATACCCTTTGCTGCACTGCCTCGGGTAGCTTGTTAAACGGATTGATGACGTGCGCGCACTTGAAGAACTCCGTATTATCGTCGCTGCTATCGAAATACTTCTCCAACAGCTTCTCCTTGTCCCACTTAAAGTGATTCAGCAGTATTCGTGTTATGTGCGCAGATAGCTGTAAGCAGAAACAAAGCGCATTGCGGAACCACAATGCAATCGTATTTAGTAAATATGCACTCATATAGATGATTCACATTACTAATATATTGTTTGTATGTTGCAACAGGTCTAGTCTGACCAGATATCTACTCTGAATTAAATGCAATTCGGGTATTCCGAAAGGAAATGATCTAAAGATACCTAACTAAAGCATTAAGGATGTTTGCAAAGCGGAAAAGTCGTTTGTCAATGACCCAATTGAAAATTATATTGTCTAACTGATCTTGTTGACTGAATACATGGAGATGTGAAAAGAAAAGAAGAATCTGAATATGTGTCAATTATTCTATGAAAAATGATACCCAAGTAAAGCATTAAGGATACCTGTTGAGTAGCCAACTGGATTTGCAATGATCCAATTGGATCGCTTAAAGGTTAAAGTGTTATACCAATTATAAATATGAAAATGTAACCAACTAAACAATTAAATATATCTGCTAAGTAGCCAACTGGATTGTCAGCAAAATTACAATTGAAATTCTTATTGGGAGACAATAGGCATGACAGTCTGTTAATATGAGCAATAGCAATAGCATGGCACAAGTCTTGCCAAATCTTATCTTATGAAAGAGTCTACGCCACTCAACTAGACGCGTTCGTTCAAGCGAACTTTCACTGTATGCGCACACAAGTGATATCGAGTCAACGGCACTTTCAGCTAATGCAAATGCAAATGTCATCAAACTGTGCTGACCTTCAATTTGGCTAAGATGAACCACGCACGCACACATACACACGCGCACACACGCACGCACACACACACACAGAGATAGCTGCCGCTATCTTTACTGTTTTGAGGTGTGCCCCTTTCTTATCAGACAAACGATAAACGACGCCAGCGTCTTATTGGATCATGTTGCCATTTGTTGTTTGTTTGCTATTAGCTGCAAATGCCATTCACTGTATAACAGTACAAATGCATACATGCAAATCAAGCGAGCGAGAGAGAGAGAGACGAAGGGGATTTATTTACACATTTGCGTGTGACTTACCTTTACCACTCGATTAACTTCATCGATTGTCTCGCGCTGGAACAGCACTATCTCATCTATGGTTAGCACCTTGTATTGGTAGTCATCCGTTTCCAATTGCCGCTCCGTCGAGCTGGGCATGTCCACCTCCATGGCGAAGTCATCGTCATCATCGCCCGATGAGACATTGCCCGAGTCCACGTTGTCCAAGAAATCGTTATCGTTATCCGAGTCCATGGCTGTGGGTGTGTTTTGTTTGTCTTTTGCGTTTGCCCTTTGCCTTTTGTGATTTTGTGATTTTGCTTTGGTTTTGGTTTTTGCTCTTGCTTTTCCTTATGTTAAGGATTGCAGCCTTGGATTGATTGCCTGCTCTGTCCTTTGGCTACTTTTGGGGCTGCCTACCTGCCTTGAAGCGGATGCTTTCCAATTGTTGTTGCTGCTCTTGTTTTTATTACTTTACTTTATTTATTTTCCTTTTCTCGTTTCAAGTTAGGCGCGTTGCGTTTTTCCCCTTGGACTTAGCCAGTTACTGCGTATTTTTCACTATTTAAGATACATATCAAATGTTAAATACGTTATTTACAGTGCATACATAAGCAGGTGCACACACACACACACACACACACACACTCGTACATACACACTGAGAGAGAGACAGAGAGAGAGAGTGAGAGCGAACATAACCATTACATAGACACTTGACCTTCTGTTGTTGCTGGGCAGCTGAGCTGGAAGCAAATCACCTGCTCTCAAATGTTTTTAAGCGTTGTTATTATTATTGTTATTATTGCACACATACGCACACTCGCATACACATAGACACACATACGCTCATGCACACGCACACGTGTGAATTTGGAATTTGTTTAATTTTATGTAATTTTATGCACAGCCAGCCACACAGACACAAACGCGCGCGCACTCACACGACTGTATGTATGTATGTGCGGTCGAACAGCTGTGCAAATAATGCAATTACAGCTGTTAATGCAAATTTTGTGAGCCAGCCAACAGAGCACTGTTAACTAACAGCGCAGTTCCAATTAGATCGAACTAGTTCTGAGCTCTTGTTTATGCACCTGCTAGCTTCTGTACTGTTGTTGTTGCAGCTGCTGTTCTTGTTTTGCTCTTATTGTTGTTATGCAGCGCATTTGGCAAACATTCGGAACACTTTTTTTCTGTTCTGTATTTTGTATTATGCATGAATTGCGATGTTCTGTCCAAATCTTTATATCTCGTCTTTTGTTTTCTCTTTGTCAATGCGTATATGCAATCTATTTATTTTCTTGCCATGCAAGTACTGCAAAATTAACACGCCATACACAAAAATAAAGAAAACAAAAATAAAAGAGTCCCAGTAAGACTACAGCGCTGCATAGCAGCAAAGGCCACAATGGATTCAACACAATCCACAGGCCACATACACAGACATATATTATATATATATATATACACACACTCGCAAATACTCTTTGGGAGCCTAACAAAACACGTCTATGTGTGTATTTTTACTTATGTGTATGTATGTACTTACACACTTATACATGCATGTATATATGCATGTACGTCAGTGCTTGCTGTTCCAATTGGACCACAGTACGTTTTCGTTTTCTTGAAATTCGTTTTCTTGAAATTTGGTTTTTTGTTAGTGACAAACAAAAAGGAATGGGAATACAACGCACTTGCTGCTGCACACAGCTACAGAATTTGTACACAATTATGTGTACATACATACAGTATGTAGTTCATACACACGTATGACACAAAATCAAGGCAACACACATACGCAGACACATCTGTATACATAGACACAAACACTCACAACACATACACAACAGCTGCAGCAGCTCAATTTCCAGTTGGCCTTTACTCGCTGCCCCAGAGCCCGTTCGATTTAACACTCTTCTGCATTATTTTAGATATTTTTTGTGTACTTTTAATTACTTTTAATGCTAATTGCAACAATATTGCGACGCGACGCGATTTTCACGCAGAAGCAACATCTGGCATCTCTACACGACACGAAATATCGATAGAAGTCTATAGATAATCGAGATGGCACTCGAATCGTCTGACCGCCACAACATAGCTGATTCTGCGCCTAGACATTAATGCCTTCGTGGTTAGTGTCTCCGCTGAGTTCCGAAAGCACGCATAGTTGGGACACGAAATGCATGAGTCATTAATAATTTGCAGCCAACTTCACGCCTTATCAGATACGACTACAATCAGCTTAACGTTTTTTTTTGAAAATGGACGATTTCAAAATGGCGGCCACTTAAGCTCAAAGCAAAGGAGCATGAAAACTGATGCACAAAATACATTTTATGCATTCAAACGTAATCTCGCTTGCTTTCAGCCGTTTATAGTACAGTTGTCAATAGAATTTAATATAGATATTCAGTCCTTCTCATCGCATTTCATGAAAGGGAAAGAGATAGCAATATATCGATCTCGCTCGGAAGCATTAATGTGAGAGAGAAAGAATTCTATATGATGCCAACTTCTCTTTCGCACCCACTTACAAGCTAGAAATAAATGATGCAGTCGAAATTTTTCTATTAAAAAATATATATATTTATTTTTTTTATTGTTAAGGCGCGTATAACGTTACAATTTCCTACATTTTACATTTACTTTCTCGGCTCGTAAAACGTTACCTTTTTATTAATTTACAATTTGTTTTTCTTTTTTTTTTTTTTTTTTTTTTTGCAAAATTTTACATCCCTTAAAAAATTTTTTTTTTTTTTTTTTTTTTTTTTTTTTTTTTTTTTTTTTTTTTTTTTTTGTTGCAACATTTTACATGCCTTTAAAAATAGTTTTTGTTGTTGTTGTTTTTTTTTTTTCATTTCGGCTTGTATAACGTTACACAACTTTATATTGATTGTTCTTATACATATATTTTTATTGTTTTGTTTATCTAAAATTTTGTTTTTTTTTTATCCCGCTCTATTTCGTGTTACGGCGCGGATAACGTCTAGCTACCCGAGTCGAACACATACGCCTTTCAAACGATCGATTTTAATATAAATATTGTTTTCTGATTGATCGTTTAAAACTCGTATAACGTTTAACAGTTTTCGTTTTTTTTTTTTTATTTTTTTTTTTTAATTTTAAATTTTGTTTCGAAAATCGGTTTGGGCACAATTCTGATCGCGCCTAAACCGATTTCTAAAACTTAAACTCTAGAGTTTACTTTTTACCCATCCGATGGCCATCTTAGTTAACTGCAAGAGAACAAAAGAAAATAAAATACATTGATTGATATATACATTACTCAATTGCAACGTGTCCACGAAGCATCTCCTCCACACATACACACACACACACACACACACACACACACATTTAGTCAAAGAGCGAGAAAGAGACGCTATCCTGTCTTCCCTTTCTTTTGCCATTTTAATGATTCCATTTCAAGCACTTACTCGCAGTTAACTGCAGTTTGCACTTTTTGATTTTAAGGAAACTGTAATTCAAAGCTAAATTCATTAATAGGTCGTCCTCCATTTTCTACTCACACACACACACACACACTCGTACATCGCGTGATGCATGCGCGTGTGTGTGTATGCGTTGTAGAAACTTGACAACTTACCAATTAATTTCTGACTGTACCGCGCAAATGAAACTAGAATATGATGACAAAATTAGTCCCTATTAATTTTATATTTTAAGTTCACTTAAGCTTTCATCAAAAGCTAGATTTAAACAAAAACTGCGGAAAATATAGCAATTTAGACTTATTGACTTTGTAAAAAATAATGTGCTCTAGTGTGTCTCTGTGTGTGTGTGTGTATTTGTGTTTGTGTGTAACACAAGGAGGGTGTACAAAATAATATAAAGCTTATAAAAAAATGTATGTCTTTTCTTGCCTATTACTCCTAACTATCTGATGCAAGAACATGGCTGCTGCCGCTAGTCATTGTGTGGAAATTGGATTTTGCCAACAGCATCGATATATCGATAACACCGATCGCGGAAACACGATGTATCGTAAATTGACATTTGTTCTGTTTAATTAATTTTTGAATTTTATTATTATTATAATTCAAATGGTTATTATTCTTTAGGAATTGGGAAAAAGTTATTCTTTTAACATAATGAATTGAAAGACTTAACATACAATTACCATAACATATTTTTTTTTATTTGTGTTCATTGATGTTTCTTCTCTCGTCCATAAGATTTGTATTTGCTGTCATTGTAAGGCACATTGCAGCTATTTGCCTTGACTGGTAGCCATCTATAAAATATTACATTTATTTGTGCTTTAATTTAATTTCAAAATATTTGTTAAAATTGTGAGCGTTGCCATACCATACATTTTTTTTCTTTGCACCTAATATAACAGTCGGTTTCGCGCTTAGCTAATGAAAATCAGTATAACAGCTGGGTTGGTGCATTCGCTTTACAAGCACCAATGTTGATTGGTTCGAGCATTGGAAAAAAGAATCGATACATTAGTAGCAAAGCTCACTAACCATAGCACACAAATAATTGGGCTTCCCAAATTTTCGTAGTCCGAACTTAAAAGTAAGAGCCCGAGCAAATACGACGTTGCCAGGGGTTCATTGATTCCGCCTTAGGATTATTTCTTGTATCCCCTATTTATCTGTTTTATTTGCAGTACCTAAGGCATGTCCAAATAAATAAGGATATAAAATACCTATAATTTTCTCTTTGTTTCATAAAAAATACAAATATATCAGAATTCTCTTGCTAATACATGCCATTTGTATGCGTAGAAACCAAAAGAGGAACAGAATAGGCTGATGCTCGATACTCTTTCTTTTTATTGGTTGGATATTATGTATATAAAAAGCAAAAGTACATGCATTTAAAACTTTGAAATAAAATATATTGCGCCAAAATAAAAATACTGCAATTGAATTACTTTTCATCGATAGTGCACACAGCTGTCTTTTGTTCATCTCGAATAGGTATCGATGCCGCACGATTGTGCCGCGAGTTCGTTATCGGGAGCTGTAAACTTCCTTTATTTAATAAGCTGCAATACAAAGTTAATCTCTATAATTTATGTATTTATCTTATTGTGTTTATAATTAACATAACAAACAACATTGTAGACGTATTAAGATCTTCCTTAATTAGATAGCTAGAAAAGCTTTAGCCAAATACTTATCATTTTTGAAAAGTCCAGTTCTGTGTGGTTTTTGCGCATCGATGTGGTGCCAATTTAGCAAGTCGATAAATTGATATCTGAAGAGGCCATCGCTAAATCAAAACCAAACAATTGATAATACATTAATTGGTTAAATTTATGTTGAAAACGCCGCAATATGATCTGTCGCTTGTGTTTAAAAAACATAAACGCAAACAATGCCGTCTATCTGTTCGAAACCAACGACACCCTAGCCGAGTCCTCCCTGCTCAAGATGATAGCCAAATTTCTGCAGCTCGAGGTGAGTTTTCACTGTGCCAATTAAGCAATGAATTGAATCGGGGTTTGTCCATGCATTGCAGATAATGCCCGATGACAACATCTCGACGAGCATCTGTCATGAATGCTGCGAGCATTTGGAGGATTTCAACAACTTCTGGCAGCTGGTGGAGCAAAAACAGGGAACACTTAAAAAGGAGTTCCTGAACGTGGACGTCGACTGTGTCGCCCTCAAATGGACGGGCATCGATGTCGATGTCAATATTGACGAGTTCCCACTGGTGGCCGACGAGATGGACGAGAAGCCATTGGATATACACAATCTGAAGCTGCTTGGCAGTGTACTTGATATTAATGTGGACACCGTGGAGTTGCCCCCACTTACGTCTGACCCAAAACCAGAGCAGTTCCAGTCGGAGAAGTTTTTACAGCTACACGCAACAGATCCCAGCGATGGCGATGACGATGCCAACGGCAACAACGACAATCAAACACACGCCACGGATGAGAAGCCTGTGATGCATGAAAGCAGCGAAAGCGTGCGAAATGCATCCACCGATGACGATGATGGTGAGTGACGACCACCGAAAATGAAGAAATAATAATAATTATAGTAATAATGGTAAATACATCAACTCAATATTGCTTGCATGCAACTTGCAGATGAAGTGCCCCTGGTCAGGCTGCAGCACAAACTCAAGCCGAAACGCAGAGCACAACGCGCCATAACGCGGCGCAACAACAAGCGAACGCTTACGCTAGCCCAGGAGCTGGATCAGCTGCTGGATGATAGCGGCATCGATGGCAGCAGAGCGCGACGGAAAAAATCAGCAAACAGTGAACCAACCGATGCGCAAGAGAACGAACTGCAGGCGGCGCTCGAGCGGAAGCCGAAGGGCTGCTCGCGCGCTCAGCTAACGAAGCGCTACGAGGAGGCGATCGCCAGCTATATGAGCGCCGACTGTGACCTGTGCGACTACAGCACCAAGTACCTGTCCCAGCTTAAGGTCCACTTCCTGGAGGCACATCAGCGCGACGCGTATTTGAAGTGCTGCAACAAGGTGTTCAATCGGGCCTCCAAGCTAATGGACCACATACGCAAACACATCAATCCCAAGCTCTTCACGTAACGCTCGATTCGTTTGGGTTGTGGCGTCAATAGCCATTAATAGTCAATTTACTCTTGCAGCTGTTCCATATGCAATAAGTCGCTCAACTCACAGGACTACCTAGCCACGCACATCGAGACGGTGCACAACAAAGTGGCCCAGATCGGCAAAGTGCTGAAGTATCCCTGTCCGAAGTGTGAGCGCACCTTTAGCAGCGAGCGACGTCTCGGGAATCATCTGCTCAAGCACGACACAGACCAGCTGGAGCACAGCTGTCACATATGCCACAAGAGGTGAGTGCACAATACGGCACGATGTTACCTCTTGCTCTACCACATGCTATCTCTCTCTTTCTCTCTCTCTCTCTCTCTCTCTCTCTCTCGCTATCTCTCCCTTTCTCAGCTTTGCGAATGTGCACAGACTGCGACGGCATATACAGTCCATACACGAAGACCTGCATCCGCATGTCTGTGATATATGCGGCAAAAAGTTCAAGTTTAAGCCCTCCTTCGAACGGCATCTGCAGGAGCACCAGGGATTCGTGGCCCCGGCCATGGAGTGCCCCGTCTGTGGTGTCTGGCTGAAGAACGAGCACAGCCTGCGGCTGCATCGGTTCACGCACGACAGCACCGACACCACATGCAAGCACTGCTCCAAGACGTGCAGCTCCCGGACAGCGCTGCGCGCCCACATCAAATACGCCCACAAGCTGACCACAAATCTGCAGTGCACGTACTGCGAGAAGAGCTTCAAGCAGCAGCGCAACCTGGAGGAGCACATGGCCATACATACCGGCCTGCAGCTCTACAATTGCCCCCATTGCCCCAAGGAGTGCCGCAGCCGTTCCAATATGTATGTCCACATCAAGCAGCGGCATGCGGACGAGTGGCTCAAGGCGAAGATGGCCCGCTCCCACAACCCACAATTAAAGCCACCGCACGTGTAGTTAGTTGGACTGTAGCTATATTGTGTATATCCRTTTGACAAGGAATTTACATTAAATGCGTATATCTGGAATTGTGTGTGTTTCTGTGTGTGCTATGCGTGTGTGCCTTGCGTGTGTGTGTGTTATGCGCGTGTACTTACGCATGTTACTAATAATTAGGCAGCAGTTCACCCAGCGTTGTGATCAGGCGTGTGGACAACGTGTCTGGAAAGATGATGTTAAAGTTCACCAAGAGCGCACCTCGGCGTGTCGAGTCCTTTGGAAAGGGTAGGCCGCGGTCAGCGAACCGCTTAATGGTTGTGGGCTTTATGATTTCGCCGTTGGTGCACAACGGGAATGGAGATCCCTGCAGTGTGGGCACCTGGATGGTGGTGCCGCACAGCGCCTGCTTCAGGGATATTTTGGCAGTGTATTGGATGTCACTGCCCTCACGCTGGAACACTGGATGCGGCTTGTCGCGTATGATGAACACTATGTCGGCCGGTATGCGGTTGGGTACCTCGTCGCCCTCCTTGGAGAATGTAATCTTGGTGCCAGCCTTCCAGCCGGGCTTGATCTCAATGTCCAGCAATTTGACCTCTTTGCGCGACTGGCCATGGTGCATTCTCATGCGCGAGATTTGCATTTTCTTGTAGCAGCCAGTGTTGATATCCTCTAGGGCCACATACAGCTCATGCTCAATGGGCGGATCCTGTTCGGGACGTGTCTGAAAGAGACCAGCATTGCCCCAAACGCTGCGCGGACTGTTGTCATCCATCATGAAGGTTTGCTCAAGGTTCTCGCCAAAAAATATGTTGAATGGATCGCTCGATCCAAAGAACTGGGCAAATGTAGCGCGTGGATCGCCATGGAACTGATAGGCGAAGCCACTTTGGTTGCTGGGATGACCGGGTATTCCCTGTTTGAGGCCCTCCTCGCCATATTGATCATAGATGTCACGCTTCTTTTTATCAGAAAGCACTTCGTAAGCCTCGGCCACCTCTTTGAAACGTTCTTCGGCCTTGGAGCTCTTGTTCTTGTCCGGATGGTACTTGAGCGCCAACTTTCTATATGCCTTCTTTATCTCGTCGTCTTTAGCGTTGCGGCTAATCCCGAGCGTTTTATAAAAGTCCTTGCCCATCTTTGGTAATACAGTTTCAATAATCAGTTTACAGTGCTTTTTTTACACAAAGGTTTTTGACGTTTTCGACAAATAAAAAACAAACTGTTCACTGCTAATTTTGTGCTCTGACAATTTGAGAGTGCGCCTTAAATTAATCAAATTCGATTGTAGAGCTATCGATCATTTGTAACGAAGTTTGGCGTTGCCGTACTGCTGCAAATTGAAGCAAATAAAATGCAACCCCAAGTCAATACATATTTATCCCCAAAAAGCAAGTTTTACTCCGCAGTTAACAGCGGTATCCCCACTTAACAGGCTTGCTCCCCATTTTAACAGAATATATCCCCATTTAAAACATATCGTTCACCACTAGAATGCAACGCCGTAAGCGCAAGCTGGCAGCACTGTGTGCAAAAAATACATACGATTTAAACTAATGGTACAATTACGTATTACGTGAAAAGAACGCACCAAAAGTAATAATAAAGTGAATGCTTCACAAAATAGTGTTATAAATGCGAGCATATAAAGCGTGTGTGTGTGTTATATTCAAAGAATCCAAGRGGAAAAGTGAATCAAACTAGTTTCAGCACCTTGGATTTCGATTACATTTTTCATCTATACACTTGCAAAAAGCGACCAGAGCAGCAGCAGCAGCAGCCAGAGCATTGGAGAACGACGGTAGAGAGACAGAGAGCGCTAACAAGCGAGAACGTAGGAGAGCCAAAGCCAGACAGGCAGACAGACGGGCAGGCAGACAGCCAGCGCAACACAGCTAACAACAGCGGCCCAAACGCGTTAAATAGCGACGGCAAGAGACTAATAAAATTGATTTCGCCAATCAAAAAAGCAAACAAATTAAAAATCGTTTCCGCAACCGCGCTCTTTATTAAAAGAAGGGTCACTCTAACGTGTCGTGACTGAAAAACATTTGGTTATATTTTTTTTTGCAAACGGCTGAGTAAGCGTAGAAGAGTGCAAAAAACGTACAAAAAGAAAGAAAAAAGGAGCCAAGGAGCAACGAACTGTGTGTGCGGTGTATGCTCTGAGTGTAAAAGGGTAAGCACTATATACATTTACGTTTCAATGCTTGATGTTTTTGTTATTGCTGCTGTATAGACCACATGCTCTTATTGTCTCACTCACACTCGTGCTGCATATAATGCTGCTGTTGCATTGTCGTTAGCGGTGGCGGTCGCGACAGCAGGTTTATCGTTTGTTTTTTATTTGCTTTTGCATTGGCAATGTTTAAAATATGTTATTAACACATCTGCAATAATAATTTGTATTATTGCTTGTGCTGCATTGCGTTAGCGTTACGTGTTAGGAAAAACATTGTTTTAAAGGTCTGGCTCGATAAATGGAGCGCATGTGGCAACGCTGTGCCACCGCTAGACACACACTCACACTCATAGTCGCATATAAACGTACTGCGAAAAGAATAGCGCTAGAARGAAGAAGAAGAACCAGCGGCAAACTTCTTGCGCGGTGGATAAAGTGCAGCTAATTTTTATTGGTAAAATAAAGCAATTGGTGTCAAAATCTAATATTGAATAGATATCCAGCACAGTAACCTTAAAACACTGTAAAATACGACAGAAAATGCAAGCAAACCTATAATTCATTCGTTCATACACAAACAGTTCTGCGAATGCGTGTACGTGTAAGTGTGCATGTGTGTGTGTAGTGAGTGCGAGCAAACGTGTGGCTGCATGTTCGTTATTAAACGGCACATTTTACTGTGCCTTTTGACGACTCGAGACTTAATAAGTGTGCTGCAAATGTCGTGTTTATTTGGCCAAGCTCTGGAAATATGTAGCTTATAATTAAGCTGGTGTGTTGCTTATTATAAACTACGGAAATAACAAAGCAAAGTGCGCGTGTGTCGCCCGATGTCCCTCTATTTCTCTCTTGATATATGTATATGTGTGTGTCTGTTAGTGCGTTTGTGTGAATGGTTTTTGTTGTTATAGGCCACTTTAAAAAAATGTTTCCAAGCATTTTAGTTTTTTGATGTGCACCTGCTCAATCCCTTATTTTCTATAAAAATAGGAACAGCATAATTTGGCATAATTTGAGCAGTTTGCATATGCGATGCTTTTGTTTTTTCCTCTTTCCTTTTCAATTCTAAATTTTTTGATACTGGTGCCAGGCTTCTCTGTGTCAGCCATTGTTCTTCTTCATTTATTACACGAAGACGCCACCGCCGCATACTTGTGTCTTGTGTTCTGTTATTGTATGTGTGGGTCGCGCCGTCGTGTGCTGTTGTCGTGTTGAAGGGCCGGGGCGGGGGCCCATCATTTGAGCACAAGCACATACAACTCACAGAGAGAGGTATTCATTGCCATCTCGTTCGCACGCATGTTCGAATGTAGGCTGAGCTCTATGCTTGACTCGCTCTTTATTTTATGGACATGGGGCGGCTGTATAGCCCCCATGGAGGTGTGCATACATACATACATACACGTATATACATATATATACACACACACGTTCACGCCAACACACGCATGCATGCATCAATGCGACCCGGCGGCCCACGTACCAAAACAAAAAAAAAAAAAAAAACAATATACAAAAATTGCAACAAACAAATGAAGCGGCAACAGCAGTTGCAGTTGCAGTAGCAACACCAGCAGCGGCAGCAGTAGCAGTACCAACTTACAATATGACACCCCCCACCCAATTACACACCCTCTTTTAGTGAGTCTCTCTCTTATTCGCTCCTGCTATTAGTCGTTTTACAGCTCACACAAGAAGACTGAGAACCAATACAGCAAACACAGAGAAGAATCGTGAAGAGAAACCACAAGGAAAGGCAACAACAAAACGTAAGGCGCCAAGGAGGCAACTAAAACAGATCTCGACCTCCTCGAAATCGAAATCGAAATCGACATCCACATCGACATCGACATCGACATTAGCACAGTCCGACTTTCGAACGTCTGCAAATATCTGCATCCCATCTAAAGCGAATCGAGTGCGATTGGCGTGGAACGCGTGGCAGCAGTAGGCGGCAAAGGAAGCTAACGCTAATGAGGATCTATTGGCAGCATGAGTACACTGGGGGGAAGTAGGGGAGAGCGAAATGCCAAGCCCAAATTCACAGCGTTGGATATAAATCGCATGTACAAGAATAGCCGAGTAAGAATAAATAATAGAAGAAAAGCTTGTCTCACATGTCTGTCCTGACGGCTAACTTAATTGATTCCCTTCTCAATAAACCTCGATGTGCAACCATTTCTTAACAATTTGCAGGGCGAATCGAGTGAACCATCTGCCCAAAAGAATCAAGTGCCGCGTAAACATGGAATGCAAATATTGGGAAAAGTGCCTTCAGCTAGGCGGCCACCGGCCAATCTGCCATCCCTAAAGGCCGAGACGAACATCAGCAGCAGCAGCGCCACCAACAGTGCGACGCCTTTGAGCAACAACACCAACAACAACAATCTCCTTGCATCTGTTGAAGGTAAGCGATTAGCTTCTTTGGGAAGAATTGATCAATGTTAAAAATACTTGTTTTTTTTTTTTTTTTTTTTCACGCTGCGCTTGCAGGCAACAGCAGCAGTACGATCAGCAGCGGCTCAAACTCAGGAGGCGCGGGCGGAACAGCGATCAGTGCAGCGGCAAGTGGCGCAGGTGCAAACAGCGCTGGTCACAACAACATCGCTAGTGGACACAGTAGCGGCATCAGTGCAGCGGGAGGATCAGCTCTTGGCCACCACCACAATAACGCTAGCAAATACAATAACAACAACAGCAGCAGCAACAGTAACAGCACCAGCAACAGTAACAGCCACAGCAGCAACAGCAATAACAATAAGAATTTGAAATTAATAAATAACTCGGCGGCAAGCGGAGGCGCATCGGCCGGCAGCGGCGGAGCAGGGTCTGGTGGTGTTGCTGGAAGCGGCAGCGGCGGTCACGCGAATAACTCACCCAAGACATGGTCAGCGATAACGACAGGACACGAACGTGCAGGCGGCACCGGTGGCCATGGCGGGCATGGCGGCCATTATGGCAACCGTCATCACCAGCAGCAACAGCAGCAGGTGGTGCCGCACTATCAGAGTCCACAGTTTCAATACGAGTTCCCCACATTGATGGGCGGCAACGGTGGCGCTGCATCCTCAGGTGGGCATGCGGGCGCAGCCGGCGGCGGTGGCAAGTCATCAAAGGACCAGCAGGCGCACTACCAGGGTCAGCAGCACGCACATCATCACCAGAATCATCATTATCAACAGCAGCAGCAACAGCAGCGAGATTATCGCGATCACCATGGCCATCATGGTCGTCAGTTTGGCGGACACGGCGGACACCACTTGCATCGAGGCAGTGCCACCAATGCGGATTCCGGCAGCTACAGAGATGGCAGCGACGACGTCGGCGGTGGCGGCGGCAACAGCAGCAGCAGCGAACTCAGCGAGATGAGCCTGCGTCCCCAAAACGACCCAGCGGCTTGGCTGCAGCAGCAGGAGAAGGCCGCCAAGGAGCTGGCTTTGAACCAACAGGGCCAGGGCCACCAGATAGCGGCCAATGGGAGCGGTGCGGGCGCAGGATCGGGCGGCAGTGTACCACTGCCCATACTCTCGCTAATGCCGTCATTCATGCGTAGCGGAGCACCGCTGCCCGCCTCCGGCATCGGAGGTGGGCCTACAATGGCAGCGGCTGTGGCAAATGCATCATCCAGCATTTCCACAGATCTGACCTCGTCGGCACCAGCGCCCTATCAAAATGGCATCACTGGCAACCGATCCGCCTCGCCAGCCATTCTGGGCAGTTTTCGTGCCGCGGCTGCGATACCGAAGCGTCCAGCCGCTGGCAATGCAGCGATGACGACGCCACCACCGTCAGGTACGATGGGAGGAAGTGGTGGCGCGACAACACCGCCGCAGCAGCAGCAGCTGCAGACGAACGGACCCGGTGGCCGCAAGGACAAGGACAAGGACTACGTGGTAGAGCCTGAGGTGGCGCAAATGCAGCGTCCCATCATAAGGGAAGAGGATCTGGAGCGCCTAAATGCGATTGCGAAGGACGATAGCTGGACAAAACAGGATGAAATTGACTACACAAAGAAACTAACATTTTCGGATGATGAGGAGCAYGCCAGTCTGGAGGATCAACACCACAACAACAGCAACAGCAGCAATAACAGCCACAATAAGCAGCAGCAGCAGTCAGTCCAATCCAGCAGCAGCAGCGATCAGCGCAAGTCGTCGGGCAGCAGCTCGTGGCAGCGCGGTAAGGACAGCAGCGAGCGGGACTTGGATGGCCCATCGGATCAGGGTCAGGGTCAGGAGCAACGGCAGCAAAACGGCCACCGAAGCAGTGCGGGCAATGTGGTCGTTGGTAGTGGTGGCATTGCTCTCGATGCCGGCGTCTATGAGCGTGTTAAGCAGCGCAAGGAGGAGGAGGAGCGTCGCCAGATGGAGCGCAAACAGGCGGCAGCAAAGAAGCTGCAGGAGCTTGAGATGAAGATGAACAGCAAGAAGGCGCTCAGCGAGAGCAGCGGTGGCACCCCGGCCACTGCCAGCAGCGAGGCACCAGCCGTGCCCCTGGCCAATGTCAGCGAGGACGAGGGCGGGGGTGCTGGACAGCAGCAACAGCTGCAGCAGCAGCGGCGTCCGCGTGGCAGCATCTCCAGCATGGGCAGCGGCGGTGGCAATGGCTCTGCCTCGGCTCCAATTGCGGCATCTGCAGCCGCCGGCGATTATGGCCAAAAGCCCGTCTTCATGACGCATTTCCAATCGAATTTACCGCCGCGTTTCCAGCGCCAGCAGCAGCAGCAACAACAGCAGCAATTGCCGCGCGGTGGTCTCGAGAAGAGCGCCTCGGCCAGTAGCGCCTTCGATAGCAGCAACTCTCGCTATCTGCAAAAGGGCGGCAGCGGCAACGGCGGCTCCAGCGGCAGTGGTGGCAGCAGCGCTGGCGGCGGTGGCGGCTCCGGCAGCGGTGTCCGCAGCATCTCAGGCGGCTATGCGCGAGCGGGCAGCGGCAGCGGCAGCTACGGACGCAATCGTCATGACAGTGCCAGAGCAGAGGAGCAGGATGCGACATCAGTGGGAGCATCCAGTGCCCGCGAGCTGGAGCAGTCCAGGTATACGCGTGGCCAGGAGTACCGCAGTGGACAGCAGCAGCAACAGTTGATGCAATCGCGCAGCATCTCGGAGAATTCGCATCGCAAGACGAGCGTCTCCTCCGGCGATGATGTGCTCATGGGCGGTGGCTCCTGCTCGTCCTGGGCGGAGCAAACGGATGCCGAGCAGAAGCATCATCGTCATCGTGAGGAGAGCTTCTCATCCACGCACAGCCACGATTCAGCCGTACAGATTAAGATACTACAGCGGCCAGCGCGTCAGCCCAGCCTCAGCGAGGAGAAGCCCCTCTCAGCGGGCAGCAGCACGCTCCCGAAGCAGCCATTGGAGCCCATGCAGCCCACACAGATATTGAGACGCAGCGTTGAGCCCGTTGACAAGTCGGAGGAGAAGGCGGCAGATCGCGAAGCTGGCGACAAGGGCGCAGAGACGGAGGCGGCCAAGCTGGCTGGATTCTCTGCTGCCAAGGATGATGAGAAGGAGGCGTCACGAAACTCAACGGTGGCCTCCACTGCAGCATCCGTCGTGCAGTTTGCGGCTGGCAAGCGTCCCAGTCCACGGGGTGGTCGCGGCGGGCGTGAGGAACTGCACACGTCGAGGGGCGCGGGCAGGAGCTATCCGGCCAGTGGAGCTGGCGGTGGCAGCTATCGCGGACAGCGCAGCAACAGCGACTGGAGCAGTCGTAACAGCGGTGGTGCAGGCAGCGGCGGCCGTCGCTACTACGGCAGCGGAGGTGAGCAGTCCGAGCAATCGGAAGACGTAGAAGAGGATTGTTATAGCAGCAGTGGCGGTGGTGGAGGCGGTGGCGCATCGCGGCGCAGTCCAAAAGTCCAGACCCGTTCCGATCAGAGCAGCAACAGCAGCGGCTCTGGTGTGACGGCTGCAGCAGCAGCAGCTGGATCGGCAGCAGGAGCGGGAGCTAACAAGGCGGGCTTTTCGCCAAGAGGCGAACCCTCGCGCCGAGGACGCGGTGGTCTCTCCAGTGGAGGCAGCTCGACGGCTGGATTCCGACGACAGCCAGCGAGCGGAGGACGTGCGTATGGCCGATTGGGCTATGAGGAGTACAGCAAGCGGAACTCTGAATCGGAGTCGGGCAATTTGTCGGACCTGGACAAGACCAAGCAGAATCAGATGGCGCTCAGTGCAGGACTGCACAAGGGCAAGGACGAGAAGGAGGAGCTGTTGGCCGACAAGGAGAAGAGTGCCGGCAGCGGCAACGCTACCAGCAACAGCAGCAGCAACAACAACAACAGCAACACCAACACCAACATCGTAAGCAACATTAATATACCCAACACTGCCGTGGCCAAGGAGGAGCCACACAAAGATGGGCCTGCAACGGGCCCAGCGACGGGTGCCGGAACAGTGGGAGCAGCAGGAGCCAGGCCGCCGCCAGGACTGAGCACAGCTGCCGTCGGCGCCACCTCTGTTGGACTGCCCCTACTGGCTGCCCCAGGCAGCGATGCGCCCGGCAAAAAGAAGACTAGCGAATGCACAACAATTGCGCCGTCAGTGGCAGCAATAACGGCAGCAGCAGTAGCCGCTGCATCAGCAACAACGGCGCCAATTGGCGACAAGTCCAAGCTATCGGCCATTGGCGACAAGAGCGCCCTTGGTGTGGGCGTGGTCGGGGCGGGCAATATATTGATAGACGCCAATGCTCCAGTAAACACTATAATCTTCGAGAACTCCACGTACAAGCAGCAGCAGCAGCACCAAGCGGCTGCCGCTGTGCCGCTCAAGCCCCAATCCCTTGGAGGAGCTGCGACCGCTGCAGCTGTCGAGAGCCTATCGAGTGCGCTCTCGCAGATGAGCTTTGGCGGAAATGACGATGAGCAACAGCAGCAGGACATGAAATTGGGCTTCAGCTTCAGCGACGATGCTGCCTCGCTCAAGGTGGTGGACAGTTTGGAAGCGGCCAGCAAGGCGGCCTCTCAACAACACCAGCAACAGCAGCAGCAGCAACAACAACAACAGCAGCAGCAGCAGCAGCAACAACAGCAGCAACAACAACAACAACAACATCAACAACAGCAGCAAAACAATTCTACGGCGGATTTGAATATGAAAATAGCGAGCGTGAAAAAGGTGTGGGAATCGGCCACGCCCATGTCAGAGACAACTCAGCAGGCAAGCCATGCAGCAAGTACACAGCAGCAACAGCAGCAGCAACAACAGCAGCAGCAACAACAACAGCAGCAACAGCAGCAGCAGCAGCAACAACATCACCAGCAGCAGCAGCAGCACGCCGCGCAACAGCAACAACAGCAGCATTCTCAACAACAACAACAGCAAGCGGCGGCAGCTGTTGCCGCCGTTGCCCAGCAACAGCACGCGCAACAACAACAATCGCAGCACAGCCAACACGGACAGCAGCAGGTCTCAAACTCAGTGGTGGATGACAGCGGCAGCCACATCAGCGGCGCATCGTTTGTAGCCGCCGTGGCTGCCTCGCAGCAGCAGCTCCACCACCAGCAGATGTCGCACTATGCCGTATCCGCGGTGCACATGCAGGGCCATCACCAGCAGCAGCAGCAACAGCAGCAACAACAACAGCCGTCGCATCACCAGCAGCAGCAGCAGGCACACCATGCTCACCATGCATTGTCCTCGCCGGGACCGGTCTACGGCAGCCACGGATCGCCGTTTGACACCGGTTCGCTGGACCAGCAATTCCAGCAACAGCCGCAGCAGGATGACTATCCCAGCCCACAGCAGCAGCAGCACTCGCAGCAGCATCAGCAGGCAGTGAAGGCCAAGCAGCTGCACGCCGGGCTGGGCATGTCACCGCCGCCTAGCCACCAACAGCAGCAGCCGCAACACTCGCAGCAGCAGCAACATCAGTCTCAGCAGCAGCAACAGTTGCCGTTCTATCAGGCATCGCCACAGTTTGGCGTCGGCGGCATTCCAACGATTCCCAGCCCGCCGGCGGTTGTGTTCAACTCATCGCAGCTGGCGCCGCCGCCGCCGCCATCGCAGGCGGGCAATCTGTACGCTTCATTCCATTCGCTTGATCATTCGAACCGCTCGCCCGCATACTCAGCGGCCGCCGCTGCGGCCCATTGCCTGCCCGGCCACTATGCGGCTGCGGCGGCGGCGGCAGCTGCTGGCGGTGCCTTCAATGCGTACGCCATGCAGACGCCGCATGGCCACGGCGGCAATATGCCGCCGCCGCCCACAGCGCCCACGCCGGACATGTACTCCAATATGCCGTCGCAGTACCGAATCGGCAGCGGTCCCTTTGGCCAGCCGCAGCCCAATTCACAGCAGCTGAACAATCCGAACGCTGCCGCCGTTGCCATCATATCCTCCAACAGCAGTTCCATGATGTCATCGGGCGCGGCCAAGCCGCCGCCGCCCAGTCAGCAGCCCATCGGGGCGATTGGTTCCAAGTCGGCGGGCAGTGGTGGTGGTCCAGGGCCTGGGCCAGGACCTGGACCCGGACCCGGCTCCGGTCCATATGCGGGCTACATGAACATATATCCGCCGCATCCGGGACAGGGCGGACCGCCGCCTGGCGCCCATCAGCTGCAGTCGAACAGCTACTACTCGAATTCCGCACCCGGAGGTCCGAGCGGTCCACAGTACTATGGCGGGCCACCACAGGGCGCTGGGGGCGCGGCCCAGAACTATGGCCTGGCCACCGCGGCCGGCATGTACGGGGGCCATCAGGGCGGGCCGCCCGGCTCCAATGGTCCGCCCGGTCCACAGTCGCAGCACACGATGGGCAACTTCAACACGCAGTTCATGAACTCGCAGCTCCTGTCGGCGGCGGGCATGAGTCAGTTCCGAAGTGGCCCGACGCCCGGCGGCGGTTACCTGAAGAACAGCCAGGGCCAGGGACACATGCAGGACTCGGTAAGGAGTGAACCACGACCACTATCAACCACACACACCACATTCTCTAACTACCAAAATATGCCCATGTATAGCCACGTGAAGGGCGAGTCTGTCAGCAATTTGTATTAATTATCGTGTGTACGCTTTCGCATCCCGCACCTGCGAACCCCCGCGTTGCCTCAGTTTCATATTTAATCACAGCCAGAGCCTAATACGGGATCGAGATATTTGTCCTTGAACTAAATATCATATAATGTGAATTAATTTAAATAAAAGTATCAAGTAAAAACAGTTTTCACAAACTAGATCCAACAGAAAAACCAAATAAATATCTTTCCATAAAGCTGGTGGATAAAGGCTGAAGGCCACGTGTCCTTAGGGGGTCGCAGATGCAATACGCTAGGGGACTCAAATATATATGAAAGAAACTCAAACTTACCGAATCCGATATTCTAGTCCCACGCTTTATTCAGAGAGAATTGAGAATTGAAAACGAAAAAACAGCGATTATAATATTACGAGCTCGTTTTTCCTTATTTCACAAATCACGCCTATTTGAGAGGAACTTGGGGTAGACTTGCATAGAAAGTTTTTCACTAAACCGAGATCTGAGACAGACTGGGCAGACTTGCAAAGGAAGTTTTTAACTAAACCGAGATCTGAGGCACTGAGGTGGTATTATAGTACTTGGATATATCTTTAATTGCAAAGGCTTTCGCCCTTTAATGAACTGTCTCACTCACTCTAGCTGTCGCCTTCTGTCATTGCCGTCAGACTGACGCTTGACAGGTCACTCGATTTAGCAGAGAGAGGGGCTATCCCCCAGGTGTATCGATAATATGTCAAAATTTCGATCAGACAATTGATATGCCTATGTGTTTAGAGTGAGCCTAGTGGGGCGTTGACAGGCACACGCCACGTCGTTCGTCGTCCGTTGGCCGTTGGCCGTTGGTCGTTTCATTGTCATCTAATACGTTTCCCATTCCACTTGCAGATGGGCAGGCAACTGAAGAGTCCATTGAGCGCTGACATGAACCTGGGCCTGGCCAAGCAGGGGCAATCGCAGCCAAGT